CGGTGGTGGTGTTGGTGTTGGTGTTGGTGGGGGTGAGGGTGGGGGTGCTGCTGTTGGTGCTGTTGCTGCAGTTGATGGCGGCAGGAGATGCTGCTGCTGCTGCTGCTGCTGCTGCTGCTGCTGCTGCTTGAGGGCCTGATAGAAGAGATATTGCTGCTGCTGCTGCTGCTGCAGTGGATGCAGCAGTTTGCTGCTTAGCTGTTGCTGCTGCTGCTGCTGCTGCTGCTGCACGTGATGCGGGGGCCTCTTGTGCTGCAGCAGCAACCTGGGGGGCCCCCAGCAGCAGCAGCTGCAGCAGCTTTGCTGCTGCAGCAGAAGCCCCAGAACCACAAAAATATAAAGCATCGTCAGGCCCTGCATTGAAAAATTCTTTCGCTATCTGACGAGCCTGAACCACCAAAAACCCTAAACCCTAAACCCTAAACCCTAAACCCTAAACCCTAAACCCTGATTTTTTTTTTTTGATAGAAACAACGATCTAAACCCTAAACCCTAAACCCTAAACCCTAGAAAGTTAGATATGTCGCTGGCATTGATACACAGATTGAAACAACCCCTACTACTATAAAATAAGGGTTTAGGGTTTAGGGTTTAGGGTTTAGGGTTTAGGGTTTAGGGTTTACCTCGTGTACAAAGTAGCTGGCTTGTCTACCTAGGGCTGCTTGGTGGGTGTGGGTGTTTGCTGATAGAGGCAAAACTGAGGTGTATAGGCACCTCTCTATACACCGCAGCGGCCGGCCTGAAACCCACAAACCCTAAACCCTAAACCCTAAACCCTAAACCCTAAACCCTAGAAAGTTAGATATGTCGATGCAGAGATATACAGGCCCCACGCTGATCAAAATATAAACGCAAAAACCCTAAACCCTCATCCAACATTAAGCTAAAACCCTAAACCCTAAACCCTAAACCCTAGTGCCATATATCCCCTAAACCCTAAACCCTAAACCCTAAACCCTAAACCCTAGCATACCGGTAGCAGCGTAATCGAAGTACAGCAAAGGCCTGGGTCCGAAAGGCCCCGATATTAACAAGGGTTTATAATCTTTTCTTTTTTTTCTTCTGCTGCTTCTGCTGCTGCTCCTGCTGCTGTTGCTGCTGCTGCTGCTGCTCCTGCTGCTGCTGCTGCTCCTGCTGCTGCTGCTGCTGCTGCTGCTCAAGCTGCGGTGACGGCCCCCCCCTATTTGGTTCCGCTGCAGAAAGGCAAGGGCCTCGCGGACCCTCTGCGCGTCAGACGCCATCCCTCAAACCCTAAACCCTAAACCCTAAACCCTAAACCCTAAACCCTAAACCCTAAACCCTTCTATTAAGATTCTATCAGTTAACCTTAAACCCTAAATGCCGCATAAAAAGACAAAACCTCTTCTATATGTTTGGTGATAAAGAAAGAAGGAAATAAAAAAAAAAAAAAATACAAACCCTAAACCCTAAACCCTAAACCCTAAACCCTAATCGGTAAGCATCGAGCCATGAGTATATTACCATAAGCCCACTAACATGAAGCGGAGGTGGTTCTGTAGAAAGAAGAAAAGGAATATATAAACTCATTAGGGTTTAGGGTTTAGCGTTTAGGGTTTAGGGTTTAGGGTTTAGGGTTTAGGGTTTAGGTTCAATGACCGCCCCACACCGGGGGCCCCCGGGGCCCCCCTGCCTGATGGTATAAACCCTAGCCTCTAAACCCTAAACCCTAAACCCTAAACCCTAAACCCTAAATAGTAGGTCTTGAACTTTCAGTTTCAACCACCAAACCCTAAACTCTAAACCCTAAACCCTAAACCCTAAACCCTTATCTTAAACCCTCACGAGGGTTTACAACTCGACCTTCTGTATAAATGGGGTTTATATATATATATTGTTTGCTGTCTAGGGTTTATGATTTATTAGGGTTTACGTTACATTAGGGTTTAGGGTTTAGGGTCTAGGGTTTAGGGTTTAGGGTTTATATCTAGGCCTCTATCATCATCGACTGGGGGGCCCCCAGGGGCCCCCCCTATACCATGCAGCGGCAAGCAGCTGCTCCGCTTCAGCTGCTGCTGCTGCTGCAGCAGCAAAGACGCATCGCTCTTCCTCTGCCTGCTGCTGC